ATCTGACCACTGGGTACACTGGCTCTTGGATCTAAGGAGGTGCTAATTTAGCCTCTGCCTGAGGCTACCCAGCAGGAGCTATGGAGAGATCTGCAGATTCCTCTTCATTGTTTGGGTTTTGGAGGTGCCCAGATGAGGCCCAGCTATGAAGTAATGCAAGCTTCTGTGAGGCCTTGGGCCTTCTTTTGGATGTTCTGGGTCTCTGACCCAGCTGCAGTTTGTTAAGTAATTTTCAGATTGCAAAGGGCCAGGCCTTTCATATGCAAAAGCCGCTGTGCACAGCTTGGGTGGGGCGGGGTCTCAGGGAGTCAACAGGGCGGAGCAAGCAGCAATGGCAGATCCTCAGTCCTACCCGAAGAGGGCCCGCATCTCAGTGTCCCCCAGTAATCGCTGCAAGCACCTCTGAGAGAAAGCCGCCCTCGAGTTCCAACCGATGCCAGACAGTCCAGTTTCTCCCTCTATGAGTCTGGGTCCTCAGAGATTCGCCCGGAATTGGAGTTCAGAGCAGTCAGGAGCTTGAGACTCCCTCCCGACTGAAAAAGACAACCGTGTCCTCAGTTGCCAGCCCTTTCTGTGTGCACCTCTGTACCTGTGCACTTTACTTCCGCACCTCCTCTGAGTCTCAGTGTGCTTTTCTTTCCTTCTAGTTGTAGAATTTTCACTCAGCCAGCCTTCCTGTGGTTCTGGATGATGTCCGTTTTGTCTTTTATTTGTATTTTTGAAGTGGTTGTGCGAGGCAGCAATTTCCGGTGTTTACCTATGCTGCCATCTTGGTTTTTGTTCTGTTGCCATTTTTAATCCTTGTGGATATTTCTATTTTGCATTTTAATCAGCAATGTTGAGACTGCCAGTTGACATCCACAGTCTTGGCCATATTTGTGGATGTGCAGTAGCATCTTATTGTGCTAGTTTGCCTTTCCTCAACGATGCTATCCTTTCATATGCTTATTTGCCATTCTCATACCTTCTCTGGAGAAGTGTCTATTCAACTCTTTTGTCCATTAAAAAAAATGAAATTGTCTTATTACTGAGTTGTAAAAGTGCTTTATATATTCTGCAACACAAATTTGTAATTTGTTTTTTAATTTTCTTAACAGTGTCTTCTAAATAAGACAAGTCTTACATTTTGAGAAAGCCCAATTTATCATCTTGAAAACTGCTTCATGCCTTTTGATTTCCTAAGAAATCTGTGCTCAACTCAAGGGTCACAATGATTTTCTGAAACATTTTCTTGTAAAGATTTTATACTTCACCTTTTGCATTTAGGTCTTTGAAACATTTCAAGGTAATTTTGTGTATGGAGTAAGGTAAAGATTGAGATTCACTTTACAGCAAACAGATGCCAAATTTTTCCTGTACCATGTTGCACAGACGGTCTTTCTCCCACTGAATTACTCTGGCACCCACATCAGTTGGTTACATATGTGCATGTCCACTTCTGGGCTCTCCATGCCGTTCACCGAGACTCCCCACCCCTTATCTTTATGCAGCACGATGGTGGTTACATGGCTTTACACTAAGTCCAGAAATCAGGCCGTGAATCCTGTTTGTTCTTCTTTGTCAAAGTTGTTTTGGCTCTTTTGGTCCTTTATATTTCCATATTAAATGTCAGAGTCAGCTCATCAATTTTAGGAAAACTGACATCTTAATACTGACTCACAGACAGGATATACATCTTCACTTATTTAGGGCTGTGTTGATTTGTTTTGGCAATGTTTTCTAATTTTCAATGTACAGGTCTTATATAATTTTGGTAAGCTTCTTGCAAAGTATTTAACTTTTTCAATGCTACTTCTAGTGATACAGCTCTTATAATTTTAATTCCTAATTGTTTTTTTTTTGCCAGTGTACATGAATTCAGTAATTTTTGTAGAATGACCTTGTATTCTGATGGACTCACTTATTGGTTGTCTTAGCTTTATGGTATCATCCTTGACGTTTTTTATACAATCATGTTGTCTGTATATAAAGACCTTTCCAATTCAATCACAGAAATTATTTAGTTCAGTTAAGTGCGAGATAAATGTATTTAAACAAGTGTAATTAAACAAATATCTACCTGAATATCTGGTGCTTATCTTAAGGGTCCTTTCGATCCCTAACCTTGAGTATTTCCTTACATATAACCCTCTTATAATTACTCATATATGGTATTGCATTGTGGGAAGTGTCTTCTCTGTGAAGGTCTGTGGGAGAAACTTACTTTTGAGTTCAGAATTGGAATAGTCGAGGAGTCACACACCTGATTCACCTTCAGAATGGCTGTTAAAGCTTGCAAGCTAACTCCAGCTTGTACCACTCCATGACCACACTTCCTTTCCTAACCTTACTTGCCTATTTTCCTTGTTTCATATTTCTTATTTTTGACTAATTTCATCTCGTATTACTGCAGCCATCTTTCTAACTAAGAAGGAAAATACATGTGCAGTCATGCTCCCAAGCCTGTCGTGACCAGGCACCAATAGTAACCATGCCGATCATCCTGTCACCCTGTCATGACCACACCCCATCACCCTGCTGTGACCATGCCCCATTACCCAGTGAGGACTCTGCTTCCACAGATGCCCGTCTTACCAGCAAAGGCAGCCCGGAGCCGCTGCCAGAGCTCTGCGACTGGTCAATGAGGTCTTTCAGGGACTCTCCCGCGGGGATAAATGCTTCATCCTGCTCCAAGTCACGATTGTAACGACGTCTGCTTGAGATGCTCTTGCAATAATGTCTTTTCAAAAAGCAGAAAATAATCTACATTAAAATCCTAAAACTATGAAATTTAAAGGTTGTCAACAGTATTATCCTTCCTTCAGACAGGATCATATCAAAATTAGCTTTAGCCCAGGATAACATGCCTCTCCCAACAGAACCTCCAGAAGTGGCTCTGCCATTCTAACCCGAGTGCTGCTGGGACAAGCAGGAACACCAAATAAAAAGAATAGCATGTCTATGTGACTCCACAAAGTTTTAAATTACAGATATATATATATGTCTACAAAGTTCAGAAAGGATATATAGCAAGTTTTAACTAAGGCGAATTGTTATTTTTAATCTCTTTAAGTGGCCTCAGGGCAAGGTGTTTTCCAATAGGGTGGGTCAACTGTCTTACCCCCAGGCAAGACAGATATCTCTGGGAAAGATGTCCTCTGCTGCATGAAGGAATGACTCAGCCCAGGAAATTTGGCGTGTCTGTCTTCTGGGGATGTAGGAATATAAACTTTCTACTTTACACAAGTATTTTCATTTGAATTTGTAAGTATACTAGTTCATTTATGTATCAAAATGAACAATAAATATATTTCCATTTTTTTAAAAAGGAAAAAGAAGTGTATGGAAAAGAAATCAAACAAGTCCTCTTCATTCACTCTGATATTTTTGAAGGCTTCTCTTTTTAAAATTTCAAATTATGAAATATTTCAAACATATAGAAAGGCAGAGATTTGACACTGTGTATACCATTTACATTTAATAAATATTAAATACTATAATTATTTTAGATCTATTGAAAAGAAATAAACATTAGGAATATCTGAAGCTCCAACCATTTCTCTGGTAACTCCACTGCCCTCCTGTATTCCTAACAAGTTCTATGCTAGAAGTGATCTTATCTTTCCAATAATGTAGTTATACTTTTACCATAACGGTATGTATTCACAAACAACATTGTTTTTCTGGATACAAATTTACATACATGGCCTGTTGTAGTAATAATTTATACCTTGCTTTTGAGTGAAAAAACAAAACAACCCTCATGTTTTACATATTTATTCATGTTGATACTTAAAAAAACAGCTCATTTTTTTGAAGCCATGTGTCAGGCATTATTCTGTGACTCGTGTCATCTTTACAAAAGTCCTAAGAGGTAAGCACTACATTCCCATTTTACAATGAGCGAACAGTGGCCCCCAGGCTCATCTGCTGAGTGGCACAACTGACCAAGAGGAGAAGCTAGGATCTAAACCCAGAGGCCAAATCAGAAATGCACGGTCTTAGTCATTACTATTCTGACAGGGAAATAATTTAAAGGGCACTTAGTAATTTGCTTATGAATTTGCTACAACTTACTCTGCTGCCATGTTTTAGTTATTTCCAAAAGTCTGTTAATATAAACAGGGCTGTAAAAACCATTCCTGGGCCTGTCTCTTGTGCAGATGCATAACATTTCTTGAAGGGACACATACCATACTTTCAGTTTTGACACCCACCAAATTGCTCTCCTTTATATTACCACCAAGTGTGCCATCTCCCGAAGCCCACCACCCACATTCCACCCTAAACTGGAACTGCCACAGTTCTGGCTTTCGCCAGAGGGCTATGAAACAAACAGCAACTTGTTTTTGTTTGATTATGAGGGAGGCTGGAATTCTGTTTTTCACTGAACTGCCTATTCATGGTTTATGCACATTATTCAATTGGGGTGATTTATCTGTTTTTTTTTTCTGATTAATTCATAGTTTTTTAATCTTTGATAATTATGTGTTATAACAGTTTTCTCTCGGTTGATATTGTCATATCATTCCATTTATGGTGTTTTATGTCAGTTTTTAATTTTAATGCTGTCAAATTAAATTCATCAAACTTTCCTCTTTTTTGATATATGCTTTTGTGTCCTATTTAAGACAACCTTCCCAACCCCTAATGTCATAAATACATTTTCAAGGTTTAAAAATTGAGATTCTCTCACTAGTCCTTTAATCCATTTGGAACTTATAGTACAGAACAAAAATCTGAGAATAAATCAACTTAAATTATTTACCATATGAACATATTTAACCATTTTTACAATTTTATATTTATAACTCAATATGGGTAACTGACTCAAATGGTTTAAAATTCAAAAGGCACAAAAGGGTGCACAGTGAGAAAGCTTCCTCCCGTCATCCCTAGGCCCCCGGCTTCATCTCCGAGAAGGACCTAGAACTAGAACTAGTTCTAGTGTCTTAGGTGACCTTCTGGAGACATGATACTCAAACAAAAACACACACATTGGGACTCATGCCCCTTGCTCTTTTTCCTTCCAGAAATGGTACTATACCACATCCACATCCTGCTTTCTCACTTAGCTTTCTCTCTGAGCGGTCCTTCCATAGCAATGCATAAATGGCCTCTGTTTTCTTTAATGGCTAAACAGTATTTCATCATATGTCTGTTAACCACTCCCTTACTGGTAACACTTAGATTGTTTATAGCTTATCTTGTCCCTCAGCTGTTTGAATTAGAGGAGCTAACAATCTTGGGGTTTAATTGCCAGGTGCGTCTCATAAGCAAAGACAAAGAAAGGCCTTTTCCCATCCTAACAGTCTTACTCCGCACACGGCTGAAATGAAAAACATTTCCGGCATATCTGCAGAACAAGTTAGAACTGAATTTGGAATTTTGATGGAATGCTCTACTGACTTGAAGGCTACACCAGTTATTATCTCTCCACCACTGTATGAAAGTGCCCATTTCCGCACACTCTCATCCACACCCTTGTTATAAAACTTTTAGGACATTGTTTTTAATTTTATCAAAGTTCTTTCTGTATTTGTCTATTTTTAAGTTATATATAGCAGGTCCTCAAATAACGTTTCATTGTAGCATTGATGAGATGCCACAGGAACTTAACTCTTTTTTATATCAATTAGTCTTTGGTAAAGCTGATTTAATTATACTTTGTTTCACGTACAAGTCACAGAACCTATGGACATTATGTGAGGACTCACTGCAGTTCTCTGTGGCTTAGTAACCAAACAACAGTTCCTACCCATCTCATCTCAGCCTTTCCCATCCATTCTGCACTTCTGGAAATCAAACATTTTCAACTTTTCTAAGCTGATTTGCTTCACATTTACCTCATTATCTAGCTATATCAGGGGTGGGCAAACTTTTTGACTCGAGGCCCACAATGGGTTCTTAAACTGGACGGGAGAGCCAGAACAAAAGCATGGATGGAGTGTTTGTGTGAACTAATATAAATTCAAAGTAAACATCATTACATAAAAGGGTACGGACTTTTTTTTTTTTTTTTTGTTTTTTTAATATCCATCTCTTTGTTTCCATTTACCACCTCTGGGCAATAATTATGTACACACCGTAATGTCATGACCAGAGACCAGGGACCTGAGGCTGCATGGCACCTGGCCGGGACGAGGGACCTCAGGCCGAGCCCCCTGCCCAGCGGGGCTTTATGGGGGACCTCAGGCTGCGCCCCATGCCCCAGCATCAGGCCGGGAGACCTCAGGCTGCGCCCCACGCCCGGTGCTGGGTTGAGGGACCTGAGGCTGTGCCTCCCACCCAGTGCTGGGTTGAGGGACCTGAGGCTGTGCCCCCCACCTGGCGCTGGGCTGGAGGCCAGGGTACCTCAGGCTGCGCCCCACGCCCGGTGCTGGGTTGAGGGACCTCAGGCTGTGCCCCCTGCCCAGCGGGGCTTGATGAGGGACCTGAGGCTGTGCCTCCCACCCAGTGCTGGGTTGAGGGACCTGAGGCTGTGCCCCCCACCTGGCGCTGGGCTGGGGGACCTGAGACTGCGCCTCCTACCTGGAGTGGCTTGACTAGGGTGGGGCTGGCCAGGTCTGGGTCTCCTGTGTTTTGGAAGTGCATGCAGGTGGTGGACAGGGACTTGACTCTAGGTCCTGCGTTGAGCCCCAGACTCTAACAGGAGGGAGATTTTCATATACATTTTACTAATTTTCTTTTATCTCTGACACTTCTATTACAGAGAAAGGGCAAATAGCAATACTAAAATATTTCCTCTAATTAATTCCCTTTTAATGTGCACGAATTTCGTGCACCAGGCCACTAGTTTCTAAATAACATGCTTATGCTGACATTTTCAGTTTTTCAGTCTTAGGCTTTAACTACTGACTTCAAACTGTAGAAGATGAGGATTTAACTCAACATTTAATACCCTCAGCCTTTCCACAAACAGAAATACTTTTATCCTTAGATCCTCCCAAAAATGGTCATAAGCACAGTACTTGTTCAGGTCAGCATTCAATGTCTCCATACCGAGGCCTAGGTAAACTCTGTCCACACATGGATCTCACTGTATACCATGGTTATTTTTTGCTTTCCTGCAAACCCTCCCCCAACTCTACCTTTAGGACACAGGCCAAGATTCACTACCGTATTTGCCGGCATATAAGACGACTGGGCGTATAAGACGACCCCCTAACATTTCCACTCAAAATACAGAGTTTGTTATATACTCGCCGTATAAGACTACCCCCTCTTCCGCACACCTTCCACACACCAAATAAAAGGTAAAACAATATCAGATTTGATTTTAACATTTTAATTTATATTCAAATGCTTATGACATGCAGGAAAACTGTCACAAGGCTGTATGTAATCAAACATATACATAAAACAGTGCAAGTTTATTACCGGTAAACATACCGGTAATTCACTAAAGAAAACACACTCTATAGATGCTTCTCAGGAACACAGGCAAGCAGCCCACAACCTAGAGGGACTGTCAATTCCTCTTCATTCTGATATTAAAAGTTCATCAACGACATCTTGGTGCCATGATAGGGATGATAGGGGTTTGACTGGTCGACATTTTCTATGCTGTACTGTACAATGGGGCAGTATTGTGGTTGGCTGTTGGGGCTATACAAAGCCTGATTTGATTGG